CCTGCCGAGCGCCGCCCGCTCCCCGCTCCGTCTCTCTCTTTCCACCGGGGCGCCCGGGGCCGCGCCCGACCTCCTGAGAAGTTGGTGCTCCCCTCCCCACACACACACCCACACCCCGGCCCAGGCCTGCCTCTTCCCATCCCGCCGGCCCCCACACCCGCCGGGGACGCTGGGGCTGCGCTCCTGGGGAGGGACTTGGGGAGGCGCGGGAAGGAGGGGAGCGCCGCGCGCCTCTCCCGGAGCTGCAGCCCCCCCTTTTTTCCTCGGGCCCGGCGGCCTTCGATCCATCTCCCCCCTCCAAGCCTCCCCCCTCGGCACCTGAGTTCCACCGCCACCTCGGAGCACCTCCCGATGGGCGAGGGGTGGGGGTGGGGGTAGGGAGGAGAGGTCATGACCCTGCCTGGCAGGGTTTGGGGATCCGGGAGACACGCTCCCGGCGAGGGGCCCACTAGGAAGTCCGGGGAGCGGGCTGGCAGCGGAGGAGGGCACTCCGAGGTCAGGAGGGGAAGGAAAACTCCAGACCTTGAGGCCCCCGGGGCAGTCCCGGGGCGCGGGCGGCGGGGCGGTGGGGGGGGGGAGAGGACTGCCCCCGAGTTCTGCCCCAAGTCCCCCGGGGAAGCCTGTCTAGGGGAGGGGTCTGCGTGTGCGCGCATGTGTGCGTGTGTCCGCGGGCGAGCGTGTGCGTGTGCAAAGGAAAAAAAAGCTGGATGCGAGGAGGGCTCCATCGGGTTTCCTTTTAGGAGAGAAGGTGACCCGTTGCCAGATTCGTGGAAGCTGATGGGCAAGGAATTACAGTGCGCGCTCTCTCTCTCTCTCTCTCTCTCGTTTCTGGTCTTTCTCCGTCTTACACACATAAAGTAGGACTCCCCCCCCCCTCCTTTCTTTGCTTCTCTCCGCGTTTAAGGCTAGCTCACACCGACAGCAGGTGCACGTTGGGCCCCGGGATACCCCGCAGACCTGAACCCTGTGTGCCGGGCCTCGGAACCCCCACCGCGCGCTCGCTGGCGCTGGAGAGTGGGTGCCCGGCCCGACCAGTTTTATGCTAATGAACTTTCCGTGGGGGAGGATCTACCGAGAGGGGGCGGGAGTGGGGCAACTTCGAGGAGTTTCGGGGTAGAAGCCGTGCATCGCTCCTTCCCCTTTCCCCGGTCCGCTTTTGTCCCCCTCCTCCTCTGCTCGCTTCAGGGAAGCGCTGAAGGAAAAAAAGTTCAGAACTTCCCGGGCAAGAGAGTGAATGGGGAAAGTTGGAGACCTGCAGCGACGCACGTGGGAACTGGGCTCGCAATTTGCGCGGAAACTTTGCTAGCCTCCAAATAAGCTTAAAGACGGGGGTGGGCGGGGGAAGGGAGCCTCGTGAGTGAGCTCTGTAACAGCCCGGGAAACTGAGGGTGGGAAGGAGGGATACCAGAGGGAAATGCAGATGAAAACGCTGCTAGTTCTTCCTGGGACAAGGATTCCTCTCTCCAGGGCCAGAAGAGACTGTTAAACAAAATCAAACTCGAAGTCTATTCCAGCAATCGTCTTACTGTGTGACCTATCCAGAAATTCTCTTCCGTGCTTATTTGCCATTTTGCACATGGGATGGGTGTGTTTCCGTATTCGAACTTCATTGAAAGTATCTTAGGGGCATAAGCCCTTCCAGAAGGGGATGGACAGGTGGCAGCAAGAATGCGGGGGGTGGGGGAGGAGGGGGAAATCAATATCACTGAACACCATTTAGCCACATGATTGGAGGCCTTGGTCATTAAGAATATCAAATACTTGCCCCACATCTATTGTTAATACTATTTGAACCAGGACAGAATATTGTTCTGGAGTTGTTCGGAAGAATGGTTAGATAAAATTTGAAGTCACTTTCGGCATGATTGCTGTGAAATTCACTATCCAATGAATTGGTGAAATTCTGGCCTTTCTCTTTTCAAGTGATAGAGCCACTCTTCTTCAAATCCAAATTCTCTTTGTGTGTTTCTTAAGGCATGCATTGTACCAGGTAATCAGTAGCTGTTTTACATACACTGGCATGCACACATGTGTCACTGCTTGAGAAAACACCATCCAATGATTGCGTAATAATTAATGTTATAACCAATGTAAAGCAATCTTTCTAAAAAAGAAATTCCTAGACATTGAGTTCAAGTTCTTAATGTATGGACCAAGAAGAATTTTTTTTAAAGTTATAAACTAAATTTTTAAAACTCCCTGAGGTTCCTAACAACTCTGGAGTTTAAACTTGCAGAGCCAAGATAAGTTCAATTCTATGGAACTGTTTATTCCCTCGAATATATCTCATCACTACTCTAATTATACTTTAATTACCTGGCCTTAACACTTTGTAATTAAACGTGTTGCTCTAAAAATCCTCTGTCAGGTTATTTTTAAGTTCAGTATGGAAAATGGGTTGACAGTATTGAATTTTGATTTTGTATAAAATAAAAAGCTTACTTAAATATTTAACATGTATTTAACATGCAAGTATTGTAGGCATTAACACACGAAAATACATGGTTGCAGATATCTACTCGAATTCTACCATCTCTGCATTAAGGAAATAGAAAATTGACATTTGAATTCTCTCTTATCAAAAATATGCTAGTTTCATTGTAAGGCATTATTATTTTTGATGTTGATTGCAAGTGCTATTAGTTTTTATTTTGGAATCAACAGCCTACATGTTCTGCATGTTAAATTTTAGAAACTAAAATTATTTTTCATTCAAGTACAATTCATGCCTACGTTATGGGTTGTTTTCCATTCAACTATTTACATTGATTTTGTTCATGCTGGTTTCTGCTATAGTTACTTAACAGGATAAGAGAATCATTAATGCAGAGAATAATAGAAACTGCCAGAAGGAAAACTGTATAAAATTATGTCTGTTGGTTGCATAGAGTATTATATAGAGTGTAGATGGTGTATGAGAGGAGCATATTTTAGCATTTAAAGAATATATATATATATAAAATTATGAATCTTTGTAATGTTCAAATGAAGCAATCAGAGGAGCAGAAAAGATGTAAAGAAAGGCAAAGCTTCATAAATGAGCTCCAAGTGGCTCAATAAGTTAGCAGCAAACCTTAGACTAGATTTAGTTTGCTTGGGGCTATTGTATTAGTATGCTATCTATGAAAACTGGAGTGCATGTTGAAGCCATCTGTCAGTATTACAAGTAAATTAAAAAGAAACTCACCTGCTGGATAGGAAAGCTAGAAAGTTCAGTTCGCAAACCATGAAAGAAAATGTATGGAAATATATTTTAAAGTTCTCGAAAGGCAAAATCTGACCTTGATCAGTTTTCTCCAGTTATTATTTTAAAACTAAACATTAGTTACGTGAGCAAAATTCAGTTTTTGACTATTAAATAACAGCAACATGAAGAACAGCTATTATATACATACTATGAGTCAATTGCTTGTTTGTAGATTTGAGTTAGAATTCACGTCCTGTGAATTTATGTAATATAAAGTGACTCTTGCATCAAGTCTAAAATGCTCATTTCTTTGACTATTGTCAGAAGATTGTTTTCTTTCAGGGTCTTATTTTAGCTTCTATGAGTAGATTTCCAGTTAGCTTTATTAGATATTTTATATGAATATAGATGTATACCATCCATGGACAGAAAATTGAAAGACTTGTCAAGCCCTTTATGAATAAAAGTTAAGTGCAAGAAGAACAGGATTCCCACTCCCCCAACTCTTAGCTTTATTTTTCTTGTCAGGGGTTAATAAAGATAGAAAGCGGGAACCATCTCCAGTTAATTTTCTCTTCTTGCCTGTTTTTCAGTCACACTGATTTGTGCCTAGAGAAACAACAAAATGTAGATTCACTTACTTCTAACAGATAATTATGACACTTGGCACAGAAAAATTCAAGGATTAGTTCATATAAAGAGAGATTATGCTTTTGAAGTTTTGTATTACAGTAGGTTAATGGTTCCTATAAAGCCTAGTGTCTCATTTTATAACGTTTCTAGAAGAATACACCACGACTAGAAGGCTAGGGCATAAAATCTGGAAGTTGTTTTGATACTGCAACTTACTTCTATTTTAAAAGGTTAGAAAATTATAGTTTAATAATTAATATGTGAAATAGGTATGAGAAATTCTAGGTTTTACATTTATTGTTCATTGTTTACATGGTATTACAGAAAACAAATTCCTTAAGTTTTTTGGATATCTTTCAAACCTGTTGTTTTCCCTGGAATTGGCCTCCAATAAAATCATCATCATTACTGGCAATAGAGCACAGGACTACAAAGATGCTTTACTTTTTTGAACTCTACAGTTTATTACTAATGTCCAGGAAAGAAATTTGATTTGCACATATGATATTTTATCTTACACAGCTTCACTTACCTAGAATAAACTACAAGACAGGCATCTCCCCTCCCCAGAGATTCCTTGCAGTTTTTGACATTGGATACAAAACTTTAAAATTCTTCTTATGTTTAACATATTATATCTCTTGGACGTTGCAAGTAAATTATTGACTAATATTAGCCACCCTCTTTTTGCCCTGCTTACCTCCCCAAATCCCTAGAGACATGATACCCAATATTGATTACAGTCTTGGCATGATTTGAACATACATCACTCTTCTCTTTGGCAATTTGCTACATTTGATTCACCAGCATTCACAAACATAATATGCTGTCTTGTTTTCATTTGCTGTTTTGTTTCTGGAATGTAAGTAGCATGTGTAAATTAGTTTAATGTGCAACCATTTTAAGAACAATTTGTGATTTGACTACCAATTAGTATTATTTTACCTTTTCAAGTTATCTTATTCAACTCATAGAATTTCCTTTGTCAATGAAGTAAAATAGTCATGAAACAATGTATTAGCAAC